CCTACAATAATGTACAGTATTTGAAAAATAATGTGTTTTTTGAACATTAAAGCATGTCAACATATTCCGTTACACCAAATACACAAAATAATGATCTTTAAAATAGCATCATATGACCCCTTTAACATAAGTTAATGCATTAGATAATATGAACAAACACTGAGCAATATGTAATGTGTTTTTTTTCATTGTTAATAGAAATGTAATTGTTCATTGTTAATCTTAGTTCACACACTTCAGTGTTGACACTGACACAAATGTTAAGACTTAAGTTTTGGGAATGTGCAAATGAATAAATTCAAATTAATTGAAGGTAATATTTATAACTGCTGTAGAAGAACTGTTCATTGTTAGTTTGTGTAAACTAATGTAGATAAATAAATTGAATTGAATAGTTAATTAATGGCAACAAGTTAAACCTTGCTGTAAAGTGTTACAGAAAAAAAAAGCCCAGAATGTTATTGAAGTGTTTGTTTTGTAATATGCTTCGCCTTCACATTCTCACAATGGGAATTGAATGTTGCTTACTTGCGAGCTCCATTTGGCTAAACACTGAAATGTATTAACTTATGCATTTTTTTCCTCTCAGAACTGGTGGAATATTTCCGAGCGCAGATCAGAGAAGACCCAGATGTGGCTTCAGCGGTGGCTGCTATACGATCGCTGCTTGAATTCCTCAAGAGGGATCAAAGTGAGCTTTGTCCTGTTTTGAGGAAAGTGTGCAGGGATATGAGATGCGCATGTTAACCAATGCTGTTGCTTCTCTAGGTGAGACGATCCTTGGCCTGCGAGAGAACATGACAAAAGCCATACATAGACTAGAAGAGACGGATTCATCGGTGGCGGTGTCATCTGGAGGAGAGCTCTTCCTGCGCTTCATCAGTCTCACCTCACTGGAACATCCGGTCGGTTCAGCATTTCAGTCAGTCTAGTTGCTCTGTTTAATATTGCTGCTGTTTAGTGAATTAAGACCGCATCACATTCCAGGGTTTAGATCTCACTGGCACTACACAGGTTCAAAAGAGACGAGCGTGTTGAAATGTGAGAGTAATCCTGCCTTCATTTGCTTGTCAGAAAACGCTGCTGCTCTTTTCTAACGTCACAATTACAAATGTGCCACGCAGTGTTCATCTACATTTATGGATTTAGCAAACGCTTTTATCCAAAGCACTATATAAAAGAAAAACTAAATTTATCAAAGGGCCAGCCAAATTCGTAGTATTCAGTGCTAGGTTTATAAGAAAACTAAAATCTAGAGAATTGAGTATCATTAAGATGCTATCATTTTAATTCAATTATTTAGTTATATAGTTTATATTAATATAATTTTATTTAGTTTTTATTTTTATATTTTTCATTTTAATTTTAGTTAACGTTTTAGTAATTCTGTTGTGTTTTGGTCATGTTTATTAGTTTTCCTTTTTAAAAAATATGTCTATATTGTATTTTTTCAGTTTTTGTTATTTTTAGTAGAGTATATACATTTAAACTGAGAAATGTTACCTTGGAAACTTGCTAAAATAAAAGAATTTAAAAAAAAATATTTCAGTTAACGTTTATTTCGACTAAAAAATTTTTTTATGGTATTAGTTTTAGTTAATTATAATAATCCTGGTGTCACATTCAAGTGCATTGCAGTTCAAGGGAATCGAAAACGTGGAAGATAATGAAATATTGTCATTAAATATCCATTGTTTTAAATGCACTTAAATCACTGTAGTTATTTTTGTTTTATTTTATGATGTTTTAATTCAATTATTTAGTTATATAGTTTATATTAATATAATTTTATTTAGTTTTTATTTTTATATTTTCCATTTTCGTTTTAATTTTAGTTAACGTTTTAGTAATTCTGTTGTGTTTTGGTCATGTTTATTAGTTTTCCTTTTTAAAAATATGTCTATATAGTATTTTTTCAGTTTTTGTTATTTTTAGTAGAGTATATACATTTAAACTGAGAAATGTTACCTTGGAAACTTGCTAAAATAAAATAATTTTTTAAAAATATTTCAGTTAACGTTTATTTCGACTAACACATTTTTTTATGGTATTAGTTTTAGTTAATTATAATAATCCTGGTGTCACATTCAAGTGCATTGCAGTTCAAGAGAATCGAAAACGTGGAAGATAATAATGAAATATTGTCATTAAATATCCATTGTTTTAAATGCACTTAAATCACTAGTTATTTTTGTTTTATTTTATGATACGAAGACCAGCCAGCTGCAGCACAGATGTCTCTAATGTGGACTCCACTGGACCAAGCCCAGGAGGATGTCATTCCCCTGGAGGCCCTGACTCCAATAGGGCACTATAAGCCCACTGAGGCATAAGACACACTATCCAGCGGGATAATCTCTGCTTTGTAACTAGCAGACCTTTAGAGCAGCCTCTAAATCACACAAAGAGCTGTTCTGATCGCCAAAACTGGCTCGAGCACTACATAAACTCTTAAGGGCCCTGACTGGGCAGAGAAAACTAGCCCCCTTATCCAGGATCTCTTGTTAAAAAAAAAAAGTCAAGAAGGACAACACGCTGCAGGAATATGGGTCTTCATTCTGGACTGCACACCAGTCAGAGAATACAGACCATTTGTGGGCATGGAAGCATCTCATAGATGGGGTTCTAGCCTCTAAGATGGTTTTGGCAACCCTCATGGGGAGCTGCAAAGGCTCTCATTGAAGGGCCACAGATGTAGTCTGCACAACTTGGGTTGGGGGTGCCAAATTGTCCCTCTTGCTGAATAGAGAAGGTTCTTCCTTATTGAAAATAACCAAGGGGCTGCAGACAGCAGCTGAATCAACTCTGGGAACCATGATTGGATCCGTCAGTGTGGGGCCACTATAAGTACTGAGCATCTGACCTCCTTGACTTTTCTGATGACCTGAAGTAGCAGAGCGATCGGGGGAAAATCGTATAGGTGTGTATTGGGCTATTTGTGGGCCAGTGTGTCTCGCTTCTTCGAGAAAAATATTGGGCAATGAGAGTTGAGTCGAAGCTGAGTCGATGTGGCATCCCAAATCATCTGAATCATTTGGGGGTGGGGTCTCCATTTCCCTAAAGGCACACTGCCCTGGGACAACATGTCTGCTCAATTTGTTCAATTTGCCTGGCACATGTACAGCCCTCAGGGATTGCAGGCTGCATTGTGCCCATAGAAGGAGGCGTCTTACCATTCTGTATAGACTATGACCTGAGACCGCCCTGGTGATTTATGAAGGCCACCACTGTCATGCTGTCCAACCAGACAAGGATGTGGTGTCCCTTCAGGGCCAGTAGAAAGGTTTTTAGGGCCAGAAAAAACTTGATCATTTCCAGGCAGCTGATAAGCAGGCATTCCTCCAGGCTGGACCAGGAGCTGAACGCTGGCCTGTCCTCACACAGTGTCCCTGTCCTCACACAGTGTCCCACAGTGTCCCTCACACAGTTCTGACACAATGGTGGTCATCTTGAGTCTGAGGCATCCCAGATGCCAAGCGCGGGACAGGACACAGGATTTTAGCGAGTATTGAAGGGACTACATTTGAAGCAGGACCAACAGAACTACAGAGGTGGTGGCCGCTATCAGGCCCAGCATCCTCTGGAATACTCTGAGAGGAAAATAAACCCTTAATTTGAGTGCTCCAGTGCAAGCCAGGCCCGCATCTGGGCTGAGTCTAGAATTATACCCAGGAAAGCAACTAGCTGGCTGGGAGACAGGGAGCTCTTGGCCAAATTAATTCCGAGTCCAAGGTGCTCCAAATGAGTGAGTAGAGATCTGTAGGCACAGATCTCGAACTCTGATCGGACTGTGACTAACCAGTCATCGAGGTACTTCATGAAACACACTCTCTTCTGTCTCAGAAGGGAGAGGACAACGTCCATCCACTTCGTAAAAGTATTTCCAGGCAGCTGATAAGCAGGCATTCCTCCAGGCTGGACCAGGAGCTGAACGCTGACCTGTCCTCACACAGTGTCCCTGTCCTCACACAGTGTCCCACAGCAGGGCCGTCGCTAGTGGGGTGAAAGGTGGTGACAATTACAGGGGCCCCCACTGCCCAGGGGGCCCCACAAAATCCAGCAGTTATACTATAGAGTGGAGCGTCAACAATTTCCCCTCCATGCTCCGAGCATTTAATAATCATTCCACTCCGGGTTTACCATTTCCCGCTCCCCTCATCGCAGAAACACCGCTCTGCGGCTAAAGTGTTTCAGTATGTTTGAAATATCGCAGTTCTGTTCATAACTTATATTAAAAAATAAAATAACAGCAAAGTTTCAAAGTGGCTTATTGGAACAATAGTGTTCAAACTTTTTTCCTACCACATGACAAGCTAATAACACGGTTGTCAGCATTAAAATGTATAATTGCTGCTTTTTGCAGTGCAAATTAAGTTTGTGATAAATAACTTTTCGTCAGTTATTTCACCTACGGATCGATGCATTTCTTACAGATTTCTGCTCATTCGAAATCGGATACAGATGAAGTAGCACTGTTAGATTACATTTGTTTGAATGCATTATTGAGAGACCGATTGCGTGTGAATAAGTGATATAGTACTTGTTTAAATCATGCTTTCATCTGAAAATATTCAGTATCTAGAAGGAACAAACAAATTCCTTGAGAACTATAACTTCCCGCTCATGTCCATTGCCGTCATCATAGCTTCACATTCTTTCTGATTTGAGTGATCCTACTCTATCAAGCTAGCTAAATATATTTAACATGTGAATTCTTGCTAAATATGCAGTTATATTACGGGCTGTTGGCATGAATTGTGCTCGTGATGGAGAGCTCTTGGAGCGAGTGAAAACAACGCTCCGATTTTTAAATAATCAGCTCCTTGCTCCAGTCAAAATCACACCGCTCCACTGCGCGCTCCGCTCCCGCTCTGCTCCACTCACATACTCTGATTGTGAGTAGGCTAACTGTTGCTGTTATGACAGATCTATTTCAGAACCAGCCGCTATCAAAATAATCTGGCTGCGGGCACCGGCGCAGGCCAGATATTATTGCTGGCGGGCCAGTTTTGGCGACCACTGGTGTATTGGATCCATGCATTCGTTCTTAAAGGGACAGCAGCCTAATAAAATGTTTAAAAAAAAACCTGAATCACTTTTGTATTTTCATTATTAAACAGTTTATATGTAATTCATACTGTGAAGACTATGCAGTGTGTTATTTTTACATTTGATTATTCAATTTCTGTAGTATTTCGTAGGGCAGGGGTAGGCAAGTTCGGTCCTAGAGAGCCACAGTCCTGCAGAGTTCAGCTCCAACCTTGAAAAAAAAGAAAAACTCACCTGCCTAGTAATCCTGAAGACATTGATTAGCTTGTTCAGGTGTGTTTGATTAGGGTTGGAACTGAACTCTGCAGGACTGCGGCTCTCTAGGACCAAACTTGCCTACCCCTGTCTTAGGACATGTTAGCCTAAATGAACCTAGGCTACTGTATCTAAAAAAACTTTTTTTTTTCTATTGTATTTGTCCTATTGTTTATTTATTTTTATTTTATTTACCAATTATATATTTGCAAAAGTTTTTATTTTTGTATGAAGGAATTTTATGTAGATATTAAGTAGTTTTTCTGTTTGTCTCAAGGCTTGCCTTGCTTTATTACTGACGAATGCTAGTCATGTGTGTCATTTAATGACTGGAGTCAGCTTAAATGGCATTTGTTTTATAATATTGGGTTGACTAAAATAGGAAGAGAAAACAATAAATTTGAAGGTGTACATGTAATTCAGTGACATGTTTTTCAAACTGTTATTAAACTGTTATTATTAAACTGTCTACTAGGAAAAATAACACAAAACAGTAGAATAGAATCAGATCTATGCATAAATTACATAAATCATAAATTTGATTCAAAATCTAGAATCGATTTTGTATCAAATCATGACCTCAAGAATCAATATGTTGCCTAAGCTTGCTATGAAAATGTGTCCATTTGTATATTGTTTACATAGTATTTTTTATGTTAGTCTTTTCTGAATGTTTCCCCCTTTTGCTCCTTAGTAAACTTATGGCTCAAAAATTATGCAACCTCAATATACCCGTCACAGTGGTGCTTGACGCTGCAGTCGGGTAAGTTTCTACTTTTTAAAAAAATATATATATAAATACTAATGCTTTCATTCTTAACGCTACTCAAATCCAGAGGCGGACAGGAGTGAAGTATTTTTAGTGTGTTTCTTTGGAAAACTTTACTTCACTACATTCCAAAGCATAATGTCATACTTTTTACTGCACTTCATTTCATAAATAAAAGTTGTTGTTTATTTTACCTTTAATACTTAAGAACATTAAAAAAGTAAATCTTTGAATTACTTGAGTTAAAGAAAGTAATAGATTTCTAATGTTATTAAGTATTAAATTATATTTAATATGAAACGTAGTGCAGTAAAAAGTACAATATTATGCTTTGGAATGTTGTGAAGTAAAGTACAGACATCTGAAAAGTACTTTTACAGCAGAGTAAAAATACTTCACTACTGTCCACCTCCGCTCAAATCAGCGTTCAAATTCAATAATTGGTCATTCCAAAAACTATTAATCAGAAATATCAGCATTATAAACATTTCGATTCTCTTGATGGATGGTTTTAAGGTGAGCTTCAGCACCAAACTTTGGTTATCGTGTTGTGGCTATAAAATTAAAATTATTGAAGTTTTTGGTTGCATATAAACATTCGCTGCTTATTTTGTGTGCTTTCAGGTACATAATGGAGAAGGTTGACCTGGTAATTGTCGGTGCTGAGGGCGTTGTGGAAAGTGGAGGTGTTATAAACAAGGTCTGAAACATGCATACTTTTGCTTAGTGTCTTTTCTTAAAACAAAATGCATTTAGCTATGTTATTATTATTATTGCATTCATTTCATAGATTGGTAAAATTATTTCATTTATTTTGTAGATTGGTACCTATCAGATGGCTGTGTGCTCCAAGGCGCACAACAAACCATTTTATGTGGTGGCAGAAAGTTTTAAGTTTGTGCGACTCTACCCTCTTAACCAGCAAGATGTACCCGACAGATTCAAGGTAAGCTAACTGAAGCGCTTGTTCAGTTGCACATATCACACAGAATAGATGCATAATATCGCTCTTGTTTCTTGTCTTTCAGTATAAAGCAGATATCTTGAAAACTGTGAAAGATCTGAACCAAGAGCACCCCATGATCGACTACACCCCTCCATCCCTCATCACATTACTCTTTACTGACCTCGGTGTGCTGACGCCCTCTGCTGTCAGTGATGAGCTCATCAAACTTTACTTGTGATGATGACTGCTCTTCATGAAGCATTTGTATCATTGACACCAATGTGTATATGACCACAAATGCACCATTTACTGAGAGACCTTGTATTTGGAAAGTATGTCACAATCCTGAAGTTAAGATTAAATTACCTGTAAAAAAATAACAGAACGGACAATTGATTATTTTCATGTATGTCTTTACACAGAAAACTATTTAAAGAATTGCCCATATTTACATATCAGTGATGGATATTGATTATTTAGAAACTTGTAATTATTAATAGTTATATATAAATAATAATAGATATTATAAACAGGTTAGGTTCAGATTCAGAAGTATTCAGTGCATGTATGCACTTTTGATGAGGCTTCAGTGGGCATAACAATGGATGATATTATGAACAGCACACTATATTATAATTATAAAGAATTATTAAAGGAATTATAAGGATTAAGCAAAATTTAAAAAATACGTCTAAGGATAATTGTTTAACTTATCCTTAAAGTTAATAATGTACAAGTAGTTAGCTTGATGTGTATTTATTCATTCTTGTAACTATTTTGCAACAAATGAGTGTTATGGCAAGTTAAAGCTAGTTGAATGTTAAAAAGTTAAATGTTTTTAAAGTGTAAAAAGTAAAATGTTTTCATTAACATTTTTATTAGTCTGTCCGGGGTGAGGACCCTAAAGTAACACGGGCCAGTAAGGGCCTAAGTAACCCAGGCCAGGGTCAGACAAATAGCCCTGAACATCAGCAGGGTCAAGAGACAGGCAGACAAAATCCATGCCTGATGGGTGTCCAGGTTGTGAGCGTTGGGCAATCCTTAAAAGTCAGACTGGCTGCTCCCTTCAACGCTTATCAGAGACCAGGTGGAGTGCACGCATAGCTGCAGTTAAACCTGTAGCAAACCACTTGCCATCAATTATAGAAGCTCTGGACAGCATCCTTGCTAAGTGCAGTTTAACCAATGAAGCTAGGTCAGAGGCCAGTGGTCTAAAACAGTACTTCATGTCCTTCAAAGCCATAGTTCTTCTCACTGTATGGAAGAAAATCCTGCAGTCCATTGAAGACAGAAACCTAATTCTGCAATCAGGGAAAATTTCAATAGAAGTTGAAATAGACAACATACGGGCACTTAAAGAGGAGATGGAAGTTTTGCGTAACTCATGGGATAATCTTTTTGCAGAAGCTTCCCTCATTGCAGAAGCTATGGATGTGCCCAAGGGGTTTCCAGTCAGCCACAAAAGAAAAAGAAAGCGCTTTGCAGATGAGAGTCAGAGTTCAGAGGATGCCAACCAACTAGAGACAGAAGAAATTCGGTTTCGAAACAATGTGTTTTTTGTGGCATTGGATAATATAATCTCTGCACTGGATATCCGCTTCCAAACCACTGCAAAGATATATGAAGAGTTTTTTGCAATCTTGTCGTTAAAAGACTTAGAAGAAGATCAGATTCACCCAGCTTGCCACTCATTAGTGAGCAAATATGCACAGGATCTTACAACAGGCTTTGAGAACGAAGTGAGGCATCTTACATCTGTGTATAATGCTACATTTGCAGACTGTCAGTCTCCTCTTGACCTGCTGAATTCAATCTACAGGATGCAGCTCCAGAGCATTTTTGGAGAGGTGTGTGTTGCAGTGCGCATCTTCTGCACTCTACCTGTCTCTGTTTCTGGTGCAGAAAGAGCTTTCAGCAAGTTGAAGCTTGTCAAAAACTATCTCAGGTCTACGCAAACTCAAGAAAGGTTTAATAGCCTTGCCCGACTTTCAATTGAAAGCCAGCTAAGCAGACAGCTGGACTTCAAAGACATCATAAGTGACTTTGCCAACAAAAAGGTCCGACAATGGGATTTTGGTTCATCCTAGGTGAAGTGACGTAAAAGGTCATGAAAGGTTAATGATCAAACCGATATACATATATTTTCATAGTTGTTTCAAAGTTCATTACTGATTGAAATTTGTTTTAGTGTTTGCTCTCCATTTGTTTTTATATATATAATGTTATATTTGAATATTTTGCTTTAACTGATCTTCAGTAAAAAACTTTATTTACATTTATTTGTTATCTGTTTTGTTATATTTTAAGAAACCCCTATTAGATTACATGTGGGCCTCCATGCTCATATATTGTACAATAAATTATATTAGTGGAGGGGTGTGGGGGCCCACATCAATATTTTTTCAGGGGGCCCCGAATCCTCTAGCTACGGCCCTGTCCCACAGTGTCCCTCACACAGTTCTGACACAATGGTGGTCATCTTGAGTCTGAGGCATCCCAGATGCCAAGCGCGGGACAGGACACAGGATTTTAGCGAGTATTGAAGGGACTACATTTGAAGCAGGACCAACAGAACCACAGAGGTGGTGGCCGCTATCAGGCCCAGCATCCTCTGGAATACTCTGAGAGGAAAATAAACCCTTAATTTGAGTGCTCCAGTGCAAGCCAGGCCCGCATCTGGGCTGAGTCTAGAATTATACCCAGGAAAGCAACTCGCTGGCTGGGAGACAGGGAGCTCTTGGCCAAATTAATTCCGAGTCCAAGGTGCTCCAAATGAGTGAGTAGAGATCTGTAGGCACAGATCTCGAACTCTGATCGGACTGTGACTAACCAGTCATCGAGGTACTTCATGAAACACACTCTCTTCTGTCTCAGAAGGGAGAGGACAACGTCCATCCACTTCGTAAAAGTGTGTGGTGCCTAGGGCTGGGTATCGAGTACGATACTTTTTAGGCACCGACCGAATTGCCTCGATACCATCGAATATCGAAAAACGTCTTGTCGTTCGGTACCAAATTTCGATACCTAAGGGGTTAATCTCATCAGCGTCAGTGAGCCAATAAGCCTGCAGCACTAGCCGATGTGTTCGACTAGAGGCGCAGATCGATCATCAGCGAGAGCGATTCGAAAGCACATGGAGCAGTCTGCTCTCTTTAGCTCTCGTGGTACTGTAATACCACCAGTATAGAGTAGCGCGGGAGCTGCGTGGAG